ACAGCATCCACTCGACCACCCTCCTGGGACTCTGCCTCGCCTCCGGCCCCGTTTTGCTGTTTTGTTTTTTGGACTATGTTTTTTTTTTGTTTCTTGCCCTCCTTCCTGGTTCCCCCTCCGCCCCCCCTGGGTGGGTTGTTTTTTGTTTTTGGACATAAGATGGCATCGGAAATCTGCCGTTAAGTGGGGGGCTCTGTAACGATTGTGGTTCTGTTGGTTTTCTCAAAGTTTTCAGTTCCACGTTTATCCATGTTTTTCTTTGTTTTGTAGCTTTATTGGTGTGTTCTGGATTTATTTAAGTTTCTTAGTTTTTTCTTTGCATGTCCTCGGTTGCCCCCTTGTGTTTTCTTTTCCCTTGGCTTCCTCGTCAGCTCTGCTCACACCTGCTCCTTATACGCTTGTTAGTCCTGCCTTTGTTCAGTCAGCCATAAATACACTCCCTGTGCAGTCCCTCAGTGCTGGTTCCTTGTCTTACTTTGTCTTACCCTGGCTTCCTCATGATTGTTTTCCCCTGATGTCCCCATGGTTCTAGTTTGTGTTTAATTTTTATGTTGGATTTTTGGATTCCTGTTTTGTTTAACATTTTTAAGTTGGATTTTTTTGGATTCCTGTTTTTGCTGCCTGTGATCATTCATTAAATCTTCAAAGAACTCACCCCTGCCTCTTAGCCTCTGCATTTGGGTCCTCACAAAAACCTCCAAAAAGAAACGTGACATAGGAAAGTCATAGTGATTAATGTGGCCTTCCTAAAATATAGAAACACCAGAAAAACAAGATGAGAAACTGGAGGTATAATAAGGGCTCAGGGAAGTAACAGAAAGAGCCTGGAAGGTGAAGGCAATGGTCTTGCCCATGGTCATCTGAGCAGTCCGAGCTATAGCCCCCTCAATGGACATGACTAGAATCTGCTTAGTTTATCATCTGTAGCTGATAAAAAAAAGTTAGACACTTTTTCCTAGTTACTAAATACATATTTAGATAATGTGGTTTATAAATGAATGACAGAATAAATCTGCATCATAAGTAGCAATTAGCAAAATTAATCAGCATAACACGGAAGTTTGTTTGAGTAAAGTTTTAGCTCCATCACGATCAATGAACTATTGTAGTGCATGAATATTAATAAACCTTATTGTTTTTCGCTGGCATCCTTTATATGCTTGGAGAGCGGCACATTTACTTGTTTGAATATTAAAAGACTATGACACCTCTGGAATGAGTTCAAGAGCAATTAGGATCTTTTAACAACTCTTGCCCTGAAGACTTTAGGTGCACAGACACTCACTCACATGCTGACACTTGTGTATCTTCCACTAAACATCTGTTTAATAACCCCTCCTAGCAGTGTCTACCATTTGCCATATGTTGTGCAACTATTACTTTTATGAATAACAGCAGTCAAAAGCTTGTGCACACCTGCAAAATCAGTGAATCTGAAGCAGCATATCGTGTCCTGCAACATTGTATGCTGAGCTGCCATGGTTTTGCATATTAGTGGTTTCTAATTTGCCTAATGTTCCTCAGATATTTTAATCTTGACTTTAAATTGTTACTGAACTGGTTATAGCATAACCAGGAGTTTTCTTCAGCTGATTAGCTATTTTGTGTCTGCATATATTTGGGCCATTGTAGCTGTCAGATTTGCATGTAATTCATGCAATATCTCAATGTTTCCTGATCTTGCTAAGGGTTTAGTTGAGTAAATTGTAGATTTTTGCAAAAAGCTATAAGACTGACATACATTTGTTTCATAATAATCTTGTTTTATTTATACATTTCAACCTTTTAGACACTTTATGCTGAAAATAAAGAATTTCTTTACCAAAAAACCCCCTAACAATTTTTTAAAATTGCAAAAATTAAAAAGGGTTTTTTTTCTGCTTTTATTCATCACAATTTTGTTGGGTTGAGATGGCAACATTACGAGGTAACCCACTCCCTTGGATGAGATACATTCCCACCCATGAATGAATGGTTGTAGGATGCCATACTGTATTATGACACAGACCTTTTCGTAATATTCAACTTTTCTTTTCCTAACTACCTTCTCCTCTCCTAACAGCTTAAACGGCCAATCATTTGAGAAAACTCTTGCCTTCAGTGTTTGAGTGACTGCCAGTTTCTGGGGTATAAAACACTTTAGTTCCTTGACTTAAAACTGCTCTATAGTCAAGGGCTGGTTACTCAGACCCAAGCAGGAAATTTAAATGACAGCAACAATTACAACACTCCCCCATGTCAAAAGTGGAAACCGCATGAAAATACGGCTCTGAGACACTAGGTTGCCAACTATCTTCTACTGTATACTGTAGAATGTGGATGAAACACATGCAAAGGTGTCACAGATCCAGTTGCAAGAGCAAAAAACGTGATGTGCAACAAGTGCAAAGCTGTTCTTATATATTTACAAGAGGGAGAATTGCTTTTGAACTACCAAACCACACAAGCTAATTATGATATTATATGTTTTAAGTTTTTCTTTCTAAGTTATTCATTCGCATAAGGGATAAGTTTCAAATGTGCTACATCCTACGTCCACTGCAGTGGTCATACAGAATATCTTATTTTCTGCTATCTAATTATCTTACAGGGATTGGGGAACCAAAGTGGGAACAATATTTTTTTACCTGGTAGCCAGAAGGATATATATACAGAAAAACTGTGCCTACAATAATTGTCGCCTTTGATTAATCCTGTTGCGGGTTTTCCAGATATTGCATTTCCTCCACCCTGTATTTTGCACTGTTTGCTCTTAAGAATATGATGTAAATATACAGGAAGACAATAAAATGCAAAACAATGTTCTTGGTTTTTCGGCTAAATTAACAAATCAAATACGAATTGCACTTGCTTTGAACATCAGAAGTTTTAATGCAAACTTGTTTGAAAACCTTTTTAATATCAGGATTTAACACATTTTAAGTTGATTCCAGATATTTTTTAGCTTAAATGCATTACAAATGGTTTTTTTTCTTTAAATTATTTCAATTCATTGTTTTTATATAGCGCCAATTTACACGTCATCTAGGGTTGGAAATTAATGCTATTTTCATGATTCCGATTCTCTTATCGATTCTGTGAAACATGGTGAGTGTACGGTGAGGTTCGTTCTATTTCTGCCTACCTCGGCGAAAACAGACATCCGTGAACAGGAGCTGCCAGCCTCTGAGCAGCCAGGCTACCCATCTCGTCACACTCATCTAAATCGAATGAAGATGGCATCCGTTTAATGAAAAAGCATTACTGTACAATTTTGGGAAATAAACTCATCTCCCCTGATTTAAATAAACGAGCGTCACCTTTCTCTCTCTCCCTGAACTGTGGAGCAACTCAGTAACATGTTTCGTTACATCCATTGCAACAGCTAGAATCATGTAAGAATTTTAGCTTCCAGTAGTTCTAATTAAACATGCTAGTAATTAAGTGCTGAAAGGCTCTCTCGCTTAATAACCTCAAAGAGAGGTAGGAAACTGGTTTATTTCCAGAAATGACATATGATTTACTTGGAACCACTTTAAGCACAGCTAGTGATATAAAACTAGCTACTTACCACCAGAGTTGCCTTCCATGCTGGTCGTAACTTTAGCTTCTCTCCGGAAGCATCAAAAACACAGCATTTGTTAAGATGTATGCCATGTTGTGTGCACAGGTGTTTCTGCATGTTGGAAGTATTTCCTTCCGCAGATTTAATTGCTACCTTGCAAGCATTGCAAAGCGCCATGTTGCCATCTTTCTCTTCCTTAAAATCAAACCAAACTTTCAATCACTTTGAGCGCTTTTGTTTTGCTTTTCTAGATTTACGCCTGGTCATGTCGTACTTGCTTACTGAATGCCGTGTGCATAACTTGCGCCAAAAAAAAACATGACATAAGTCGTGCTGCCCAGAGCTAGGCTCTGGTGCTGCCTGGAATCGTTAAGAGAATCGTTAAGCGAGCTGCCAATTGCCATACGGAATTGGTTCTGCACAGGAACCGGTTTTTGAAAAACTCAATCAAAGAAGCCAGACAAATTTGTTAAACATTTTCCGTCTAAGGAAACCAAGCTGACCTCATCCAGTCATTGACTTTACATTTTACTCTTCATGTTCCTATATTTAATAAGGGTGTTCTCTAAAACTATGTTCATTTTTTTTTTCAAAACCTTCGCCATGGAAAATAGGTTTGTAACCTAAGTTGGATCTTTCTGGTTAAATGAACACACAGAAACAGAAGATACTATTAAGTGGTAAATACTTTTTCTTGTCACTTTATTGATTTTGCTTTATGTTCCCTCCACTTAAACCAGGCGAGCAGCTCCCTCGGCAGAGTTTTCTGTGGATCGGACCCGGCATCTTATGTCCTTCCTCACTATGCTTGGGCCAAGCCCAGACTGGAATGTGGGGCTGTCAGGAGAGGATCTCTGCACCAAGGACTGTGGCTGGGTCCAGAAACTTGTGGCAGACCTCATCCCATGGGACGCAGGCACAGACAGCGGTGTCACATATGAGGTACTAAATCTTACTTTCTTTATTATTACATGTTTGTTTGTTTTTTTGTTTGTTTGTTTTTACAAAGTTTGATACCTAAAAGATGAACCATACTGCTGTAGTCCCAAACCAGCATCTCAGCTAGATAAATGTGGAGAATTCACAAGATCTATCATCATGACGGTCATTAAAAAATAACAGCAACATAAATCAGAAAAAGAGGCCATTAAGTCAAAAGATGAAGCATGTAGGTACATTAGCGACAGATTACTGGAAATGTTTCCATGCCGCACTGCCATCACAGAAATACATGAATTATAAGAAATGTTAGGATGTTTTCATCCAGTTCAGGGTTGTTTTGGGGTCAGCAAAAAATAAAAAATCAGAGCTTTCACCTGACATATTGTTTGTGTATAAATGCCTTAAAGAGACCCCTTAAATAACTTTTCTTTAGCAGTTTAGTTCATTATCTTGTGAAGACATTTGTTCTTGCACATCTTTCTGGAGAGACCACAGCTTTACAGTGATGTACAGCTTTAGAATGGACCATTGCAACACTTTCTTCTTCTTTTCTTTTTCCTAACCAGTGTGTTGCAGATTGACTGTTGTTTTTGAGATCATGATGCTGTTTATAACCCAATTAGAAACAAGCATTGGCTCTTAGACAATTGGCCTTCATTTTAACTTCACAGTGCTTTGGCTTTTGGAGAGTTTATGTTAAAGATAATGACTGCAGAGCAAGCCAATATCATCACCACTTCATTATTGTGCTTGGTAGTTTGTAAAAAGGTGTTTATGAAGATTTGCTCTAGTTTATTTTAAATGTGGTACTGTTACTCAAAGCCAGATGGGCTCAAAACAAACTCTAACTGTTCTTTAGTTTGACTGAGATCAAGCTCAACACACTAATTGATGTTTTTTAAAGTTTCAGATAAAACTCCTTTTTTTTTTTTTTTACATAATTTCTTAGAAGATACGGGCAAAGTTACTGATATTCCTCCTCCTGGAAAGACCGGCAGGTATCCTAAATGTTTTCCTGTTGTAAAAAGATCTTTATCAGTTATATACTATATGTCATGGTGGGTTTTGATTCCTAGCCCATATGCAGAACACAACCAGAGGCAGGGGAAAAGTTCAAAGGTTTAATTAATAAAGAGCATAATAACAGGACAGGGGGTAATCAGGTCCAGGGCTGGTCACAACTGGGTTTACTGTTCTGGAGATTGAGCAGAGCGGCAGAAGGGGGAACCAGGAGGGTTCAGAGGCTAACAGCAGGCTGAGGGCTTGGTGGAGGCTGAGCTAGGTCTAGAGCTTGCAGATCACCAGGTTTGAGTTTCCCTTCCAGATACTTCAGAGAGCAGGCAGGCAGGTCCTTGACAGGTTTGGTTCTCCAGGGTTCTTCAGAGATCAGACTGACAGATTACCAACAGAAAAACTCTTCAGGGGTTTCTGGTTTCAGACTGGTTCGACCTGGGAAGCAGAGAAGACAAAATGGATCAGGTTCAGGTTCAGGACTCGTAGTCAGGAGACTAGACAGACAGGTTGGCTCAGGGTTTGTTGTACCGTAACTAACACTCTGGCACTGGAGTGAGGTCCTCAGCCCGCTTAAGTACTGGTCTCCTGATGAGCAGATGAGGAACTGCTGGTGAAGTCAGCTCCAGCTTCAGGAGATCCAATACGCCCTCTGGTGGAGAAAGGTAGACAGAAACCCAGATCCCAACAGTAACACAAACCCCTAGGAAGGGATCCATGGCGCCCTCTGGTGGGCAAGCCTCAGGATCCCAACACTATATTTATATACTCTCTTATATACTACAAATAATTTAGATTTCTGAGGCACAAGACTGCTTCTCTAAAGTCAGTTATGTTTTCTGTCTGTCCTGACATTGTGCTAACAGACAGCTGAGTACTATGTTAACAGGTTCAATTCATATTCTTCCATAGTATGCCAAAATTTATGGAGCGAGGGGTAACAACTCCTCTGGTGGAAGCCCAGGGCACCATCCCGGTCTGCCAGTTCAGGGGCACTCCTGCCAGGCCTGAGTGTTTGTCAGCAGCCTGCTTGGCCTCACAGAACCTGTATGGAGCTTTAGAAGCCCCACAAGTCAACCAAGCTCTGTAGGACTCCTTCAGTTTGAAGGCAGCCTGATTGAAACAATGAGATTTAGAGTTAGGGTCTGTCTCGTTAATCAACATTTACACATACTAATCTCCACAGTCTCATATGTGTTGATTGTCTCCCCCTAGTGGTTTGGAGCACGTCTGTGATGCACAGCTAGTATGCAGCTTTTCTTAACATGGTTTCTACACTAGAAACAATGAGCTTCATTGCACTTCATTGCACATGCTTTGTGTCTGTGTGGTACCACACATATTTGCAGTGCATATTTGCATATTTGCAGTCCGTTTTCCATCAAGCTTATCCCTGCTTGGGTCTTGCGGGGTGCTTTATCCTATCTTCAGCTGTCTATGGGCAAGAGGTGGGGTACACCCTGGACAGGTCACCAGTCTGTCGTAGAGTAACACAGAGACATACAGGACAAACAACCTTTCATGCACACACTCACATCTAAAGAGAATTTAGAGAGGCCAATTAACCTAAGTCATGTTTTCGGAGTACCCAGAGAGAACCTGTGCATGCTCGGGGAGAACATACAAACTCCATGCAGAAAGACCTCCGGCCAGGAATTTAACCTGGAACCTTCTTGCTGCAAGGCAGCAGTGCTACCCACTGCCCCGCTGTGCAATCAAGCAACAACAAGCAGTATATCTAAATCAGCCTTTATGTTTATAAAATGCAGCATCAGAGTGTTTTTCAGTTTCACTTTCTGTGAAAAACTTTACAGCCCTGAAATAAAAGGGGCTCATCCATATTCACCAACTGTTTTGAGACTAGAGCAATTTATTTATAGTTTGCACTCATGAATACGCATAGCGCCTATCCTGCAGAGGGGAGATGGTAAATACTTTTCAAAAACTTCCCTCACATAAAACCAGGTGTTGTTGTTATTAAAGACAGAGTGTTTCTTGAGTGTTGGGGGCTTGAATTTAGCCTCATGAGCAAATTCATTCTTCTTTTATGCAAGCATTAATGCTCACATCATGGTCGCATTTTTGTGAATATCATTATTTAAAAGTAAAAACAAAAAAGTGGGGCTTTATTTACGCTCTTGTTTAAGATGAATGTGATTTGAGGGACTTTTCCAAGTAACTCTCCTGTCTGTTGTAGTTTTCATCTTTTTTGACAGTGTTCTAAGTTTGACTGCCTTCCTAAATCTAGTTTTTTACAAGGCAAAAAAGTGACTAATTATCCTTGATAATGATACACTATTTTGCTAGTCTTATTACTATATGCTGCATGTGTCATAGAACAGAACAGATGGACTGAGTATTCAAGATCCAGTCAGTAGGAAAGTAAACGTTTATTCAAATAAACAGACAGAAAAGGCACAAAAGTGGGTTGCTGTTGAACTACAGACTGAAGCGGATGCGGGAGGGGGGCGGGTCAATCACTGACACTCTTGTTTAACAGTTCAGTCCATCATCTCAATTATAGGCTGGATCAGCCAATGCACTACTAACGAGATGCGGCCCTTAGCTGCCCAGAGTTTCCCCGATGCTGCAGCCCTGGAGAACAGGCAGTAGGCCGGTCCAGGTCAGGGGAAAACAGATCCGTTACTATCCAAACAGGAACGGAGGGATCCAGGCTTCCAGGAATCCTCAGAGCATGAAGGCAGGTTCAGAGTTCCACGAGTCCAGAAGCGTGCTCAGAGAGACAGGCACAGATGCAGACAGGCAGGATCAAGTGCAGACAGGCAGGCTCAGTGTCATGATCGGTTTTACGAATCTGACCCATATGCAGAGAAACCACTCAGAGGACACGGTAAAAGTTTAACAGGTTTATTGTGGAAGTCAACAGGAGTAGGATCTGGTACTCAGTGAGCTGGTGAACCGGAACTGGAAGTGAGAAGGGAAGTTCAGAAGTCAGTTCAGGGTCTGTGGGAATCTTGGATGGTCTTAGATAATGCAGGAATGGGACTCAGGTTTGAGGGGGGCCTGGTTAGTCCTTGAATCCAGTCTGTGTGAGGTATCCAGTGAAAAGAGCACACGTTGGAGGGCGGACAGGTAGACAGGCGTTGGACCCGGAGGAGTAATGGAGCGGACTGTCACTCAGATTTCCGATGGGAACTTAAACGGAACATGTGGAGGTTTTCCCCTGCTCAGTGTAAACTCGGTATTTCCTTCCAGAGGGGAGAAGGTCCAGGTATCCAGTAACACAGGAAAGCTTCCTGCCGGAGAGCAAAGACAAGAACTGGTTAGACTCAGAGAAACAAAGCTAGGTTAGACTCAACTAATCTCAGCTTGGCTAGAGAACCCAAAACTGGCAACCAGTCGAGGTAGTGACAGCCCACTGCTCAAATACTCCTCCAGATAATGGTCCAATGAGCCGCAGGTGTGCAGCAAGGGACAGCGAGGACAGGGCACCTCCTGGTGGTGGAAAAAGGAAACACACAAACTGGATTTCTAACACTCAGTGGTTGAGGGAACAGAGACAATAGGTGGTACCAGGATTTCTGCAGGACTTTAAACTGGTTTTTATCCTAGGAGCCAGGCTTACGGGAATAAAACCGACCTTCCCCGCATTCTGAGCCAAATCCCTGATTCCCCACAGAGAAGGGCCAGAACAGGACCAGAAGACAAGACAAACACTAAACCTCTCAAGCCACTGGCAGTCGGGAATGAAGACATGAACCTTAGAAATAAACCAAACAAAAAACAGGAAGCAAAATATGATCTGGACCCAATAGCTGGACTGAGCTCAATATAAAGTAGAATGTCCAGGTGGATGGGATCAGAGATGATTAGAGACCAGGCAGAATTAATTAAGCAGGTGGTCAAAGACATGAATAATTAAGGTCAGCTATCAGGGCAGATCATGACAGCATGACGTGCATACTGTCAAAAATCTATCTTCTCTAAATTTCTGTGAAGGAAATACTTCACAATTTTAACCTTAGTACATATTACACACCACCATTGTCATTATGTTAACACTTGTTTTAGCAAAAAAATACACTTCAAGGATCATGATTACCTGACCCAGTATTAAACTGATGAAACATATACCACTGCCAACTCCCCCAGTGTTTACCTAGCAAACAGGCAACTGGAGACAGCACTGTTAAGCTGTCTACAATAGCAGTTACAGCAGACTATACCGCTTAGGGAAGATCCTTTAGCTGCATCACCACGCAACATATCTTCAATAAGTCTGCTGTACCATCTGCTGGGGTAACAACATCAGAGCAAAAACTTAAAAAAGCTCAACAAGATAGTAAAGTTTTGGGAGCTCTTCTAGAACTGGAGATGGTTTCCCAAAGAACCCTTTTATAAAAAGAAGAACACCATGGAGAACCCCGAGCTAGTCTTTACTAGACTGAAATATATGTTAGCGACAACTATGCTTAGAGGCTGATCAATGTGTTTAATGTAATTTTTCTTCTTTGCAATAAGTAGTATTGTCAAACAGGCATTATTTAATAGGTTTGAATATATTACAATCTTGCTAATGTTTTCAATATAACAAATATTGATGGCTGTTCATAAACTTCAATTTAGTGTTAGACCAACCTGTTGCATTTCCCTGTTTATCACTCTTCTTCCCCTCTTTCTCTCCATCTCCATACTTGCAACGGATGATATGAACCTTGATAAATATGGCAGGCTTAATACATTCTGGTCAGTATCAGAATGATGGCATACCTTATGAAATGCAGTATGGTTATAAATATATAACAGCCATACCACATACAAAATCAAATGAAATCTGGTTTCAAATCTAAAGCAGTAAAACCACATATCAAAAAAAATTATGAA